AAGCATATTCTTTTTGCTTTTCAACATTTTAGAAAATTCTGCATTCTTTAGCTTTTGTCCCATTTTTTTCTTCTTATGGGAATAGTTTCTGATGGCTTCTTCAATATCTCATTTTATAGAGTTTCCCATCTCCTATCCCTCCTGGATGTTTTTCTTTTTTAGGATTTCAAGACACTGGATCTCACCTACATTTCCCCTGAGCAACTCAAAGTCTGGTTTTCTGGAGTTCAGTATGCAGGTCTGATTTTTTTTGGTTCCTCCTCCTCCTAGATATTACAGATCCAAGGGTAACACAATCACTTTTTAAAGGTGCTAATCAGCTTCACTATTTAACAGAACAGATAGTTAATGGAATTACAGAGTTGGAAGGGACCAGATTAAGAAGCAGGAGTCTCTAAACTATTTCAGATAAATGGCTATCCAATCTCTTCTTAAACACCTCTGGTGATGGATCATTCACACCTTCTGAAGGCAAGCATTCCACTGGTTAATTGTTCTCACTGTTGGGAAATTTCTCCTTAGTTCTAGCTTGGTTCTGTTCTTGATTATTTTTCATCCACTGCTTCTTGTCCTGCCTTCTGATGCTATGAGCTGAACACTTCTCTTCTTTGTGGCAGCCCCTCAAATATAGGAACACTGATATCTTGTCACCCATGGTCTTTCTTTTCACTAGACTAGACATACCCAATTCCTTCATATGTTTTAGCTTCCAGCCCCCTAATCATCTTTGTTGCTCTTCTCTGCACTCTTTCCAGAGTCTCAACATTTTTTTTTACATTATGGTGACCAAAACTGAATGCAGTTTGGTCTTACCAAAATATTATAAAGTGGTGCTAACACCACATGTGATCTTGATTCTATCCCTCTGTTAATGCAATCTAGGATTGTATTGGCTCATATTTAAATGATTGTCCACTAGGACTCCACAATCCCTCTCACAGTTACTGCTATTGAGCCAGGTACCACCTATTCTATACTTGTACATTTCAGATTTTTTTTGCTTAAGTATAAAACCTTACTTTTCTCACAACTGAATTTCATTTTGCTAGATAGAGCCTAGTGTTCAAGTCTGTTGAGATCCTTCTGAATCCCGAGCCTCTCTTCTGAGGTGTTGGCTATTCGTGCTAGCTTGGTGTCATCTGCAAATTTGATGAGTTCCCCTTCTAAATAATTTATGAAGATATTGAAGAGTGCTGGATCTAATCTTGGGGTTCCCCACTGCTTATTTCCCTCCATGTAGATATAGTTCCATTAAGGACTACATGTTGAGTGTGGTTTGTCTGCCAGTTACAAATCCATCTGGTGGTGATGCTACCTAGCCCACATTTTTCTAATTTACTAAGAAGTAGTTGGAGGTCCACTTTGTCAAATGCCTTACCAAAATCCAAGTATACTATGTCCAACAGGCCCGGCTGGCTTAATATGAATTTTAAATTGGGTGTTTGTTAGCTTTTAACTTTATGGGCCAAATTTTTATATATTCGTTTTAATTGTTTTTAAATTTTGTGAGTTTATATGTGTTTTAATATGGCTGTACACCGCCCTGAGTCCTTTGGGAGAAGGGCGGTATAGAAGTTCAATAAAATGAAAATCAAAATCAAAAATCAAATCAAAGTCCACATTATTTCACTGGTCCACTAATTCAGTCACAGAATGAAATAAGATTTGTTTGGCACGTTTTTGTCAAACCCATGTTGGCTTCTGGTTATAACTTTGCTTACTTCTAGGTGTTTGCAGTTCTATTTCTTGATTATCTTTTCCAGGATCTTCCCAGATACTGATGTCAGGCTGATTGGTCTGCAGTTTCCTGGCTCCATTTTCCCCCTTTTTTGAAAATGAGAACCACATTGCTCTTTTCCAGTCCTCTGATAGTTCCCTTGTGCTCCAGGATCTTTGAACAATATAGTTCAGTGATTCTGAGATCATGTCTGCCAGCTCCTTCAGAACTCTAGTCAATCCATCTGGTCCTGGTGATTTGAACTCATCTAGGCAGACGGATGTTCTCTTACCATTTTCTTGCCTGTTTTAATTTGTATTTTATGGCTCTGTTTTGGTAGGTTTGGGCTATTTTTTTCTTTTTGCATATAAGACAGATACAAAGAATGAATTAAGCAACTCTGCTTTCTCCCTGCTGCCTGCATTTCCTTGACATCTTCTCCCATTAGTGGACCAATTGTTTCCTTGACCTTTTTCTTGTTTGTTACATGTTGAAAGAAACTTTTAAAATTATTTTTGACATTTGTTGCAAGTCTTAGTTCATTCTGAGCCTTAGCTTTCCTGACTTCATCCTAGCAGATTCAGGCTAAATGCTGGTATTCTGCCTTAGTTATGCATCCCGCTTTCCATTTTTTATACTTATTCCTTTTGTCTTTTAGTTTATCATAGAGTTCTTTATACAACCATGCTGGTTTTACTTGGATTTCTTACTCTTCTTTTTCAGCAGTATTGTGGTGCACTGGACTTTTATAACCATATTTTCAGAGTTTCCAAAGTTTCTTGAGTTATTTTCATCTTTAAGATTTTAATCCATGGAATCCTTCCCAAACTCAAAGTTTTTTGAAATCAGCTCTTTTAAAGTCTTACTAGTTTGATTTTGTACTATTACAGTATGTGTGTATGCATTATATTGAATTCAAATATGACATGATCGCTCTCCACCAAGGTTCCTGCAACTTCAACCCCCTCTATCATTTCATCTCTTTTGGTAAGAATTAAATCCAATATAGTTGACCCTTTAGTTCCCTCTACTTTTTGGATGACAAAGTTGTCAGCTAGGCTCATAAGGAACCTAGCCTCATAAGGAATCCCTCACTTCATGCAGAGTCTGTTTCCCAGTTGATGTCACGGTAGTTAAAGTTCCCCATTACTACTGTGGTATGTTTCTTACATACATTAATTACCTGGTTAGCAAAAAGTTCATCTATTTCTTCTTCTTGGTTGGGTGGCCTGTAATATACACCTATAGCAATGTCATTCTTCTTTCCTTTGAATCCATATGCATTCAAAGGGTACAGGTGTAGTGATTTTTTTCTTTTTACATATAATGCAACTTCACCTTCTCTTTTGTTAGGTCTGTGTCCATTCTATCTATTTTGCAGGTCATTGTCCATGTTGCTTGGATCCTTCCCTATGAATTCTCCTAGCTAAACTCCCACAGAAATATTCACTTTTTGCTTCCTTTGGTGTATTGAGCACAGAGACATTCTAGATGAAGACTAGATTGGACTGAAAGAAGAAGATAGGTAAAAAGAAAAAGAAAAGCTATTGCTTAGCGCATTGTAAGCCGCCCTGAGTCTCCGGAGAAGGGCGGCATATAAATCAATTTTTTTTTTAAAAAAGGGGGGGTACACACTCCAAAAGAGTCTCCCCCTTGAACTCCCTTGCTAATCTCCCTGCTAAAACCCTGCTTCCACTCACACCGGTCTCCTCATGTCCATTTTAAATGTTTGCTTTTTCTTTTCTTTACTACCTGGATTGACCATCTCAATGTGCATTATTCTGTGGACATATTGCTATTCCAGGAAGCATTGGAGAAATATTTCTAATCCTCTAAAGGTTCCATGCTGCTATATGGTACGTGGCCAAGAATTTTAAGGCCCTGGATGGCACTTCATCACTTGCTGCTTGCTTACAGTGAATTACATTTGCCATTTTAAAGTCCCTTTTCCAGGCTGGAAAGATTAATTTTGGAGATGTATGCCATATTGCTCATCTGTAATTCCAGGTGGTTTATGAATATATTAAAAAGCAATCTCACTGCAAATCCTTAGGAGACCTCACTTTGGATACTTCCACCTTATGAAAATTATCCATTAATTCCTTCTTTCTGTTCCCTGTTCTTTAATCAGTTAGCAATCCATTAAAGGACTTCAATGAATCAAAGAGTTAGAAAGAACCCACAAGCCACTGAGTTCAGTTACTCAGAAATTAAACCTCTCCTCTTATCCCAATGGTGTTAAATTTACTCTAGAGTCTTACTGAAAGACTCTGTCAAAGTCTTTTTGAAGACTAAACCTTGAATCACTGGAACAACTTGAAAACAACTAATTCCAATTCCAATGGATAAAGTTAACCTATGTAGATCACACCCATTTATATGTCTGTTGACATTAAAAGCAGTTTTAAATGCTGTGAAGTAAGATTAACATTAGAAAAACTCTGTTGTTTAACAAGATGTGACAAGATATGCTTTCTTATTTTATTAATAATAATTTACCCAGGATATGTTAAAACTCTCTGGCCTATAATTTTCTGTATCTACCTGTACAAAAGATGGATCTACGATTTTAAAGAAAACTGAGACTACTTAATCTCAAAAGACATAGTTCAAAATATATTTTTCACCCCAAGTTCTATATTTTAATGTATACCAATATTATGTTCAATGAAATGCAAGTTCCTTTGGCTGATCTTTGATCCTAATAAACTGAAACTGAAAATTTATCTTGTTTGATGGCTAACAAAATCCCCACTCTACATTTATCTGGATGGAGTAGATGAAACCAGCTTGTACTAGTATCCGCCAAAAGCAAATTCTTCAAGAATATTTCATTATTTATTTATATCCCACCTTTATTATTTTTACAAATAACTCAAGGAAGGAAACACATCCAATACACCTTCCTCCTCCTATTTTCCCGAAAACAACAACCCTGTGAAATGGGTTGGATTGACTGAGAGGGACTGGCCCAAGGTCATCCAGTGCTGCTTTCATAGCTAAAGCAGCACTGGAACACAGGGTATCCTGGTTTTTAGCCTAGTACCTTCACCACTATACCGAATTGGTTCTCTCTTATCACAAAAGCTTCTACCACAAAAGCCAGTCAACCTCCTGAAAAATTGCAGATTTTAGTGCCACACTGCTGCCAAGGTAAAATCAATTGGAATAGTACTATTCGGAGAGAAATTCAGAGGGATTATTTTTTAAATGTGTTTCTAAATAATGTACATTTCATGAAATGCTCCATAATCATTAATAACTACTCTCTTTTTTTTCATAGGTTCTATTAATTGTCAGGCAAACCAATTAAAAACCAAAGTATATATTAAAAAAATGCTGTGGTTATTAGGCTATTAAGCACCTGGTTTGCTTTCTTTAAAAGATCCAACATCACCACCACCACCACCACCACCATCATCAAAATCAACATCACATCATCCTTACCTTTTTTTGGAGAACACAATGGAAAATGAATATAAACATTCCCTGCAGAGAATTGAAAATGGTGAAGAGGTACGCCATGATCACCGTGCTTTCATTAATATACATAAGTCCAAAGGCCCAGGTGAGTCCCAATAGGCAGAGCAGAGCTATTGCACCTATAACCCATGACCTGTCAAGGAAAGAAGGAAGAAAGGAAGAAAGAAAGAAAGAAAAAAGAAAGGACAGAAAAGAAGTGTATTTGACTGATAAAGAAAACAATTCAATGAACACAACAGTATTTTAGATTATTCTTTGATGAAAAGAAAGGCAGAATGTGAATATTTGTGAGAAATGAATTTTTTGAATTCAATGCAGTTTATTATCAAATTCATAATCTGAAGAAAATATATAGATGGAAAATGTCATGAGCATGAAAATGCCTCTCTAGAAAAACAAGCTTGTAGCAAATGTTTTTGAGTAGAGCAGTGTAGATGTAATAAAATATAGAGATATATGACACTGTAGAGGAAAATAAAAAAAATATTTTAAATTTGCTTCCTTCCCTTACATGCCTAATTTTGAAAGCTTCATCATATTGATCCTACATAAACCACTCTGGGGGAAAAAAACAAGGACAGTTAACAGAACAACAGTCCTATTATTTTTAAAAAGTGCAATGGTAGAACACTAGCTGATGGCTTATACATTTTGTATATTTTCTGCAGTTAGCTGGCTCCAAAATTCTTTGCATAATGTATTTTCAAATGAATTCTATATTAAATAACCTGAACCAAAATTTAAATACAACCTAGACAGCGTTCAAAATAAATTTTGCCCAACTGTTTTGTTGTAAGCATTGCTTGTTTTCTAAAAGAAGAAATTCCAAAATAGTGTATTATTAACTATTAATAAGTACTGATTTTCTAGATCCGCTTCAGTCTGAGTTCTGTTCTGGCCTAATTATAAGAGAATCTCCCCTAACTAATGTGATGGATTACTTTCCCACGAAAGGAACATAATCAGTATGGACATGGTATGGACAAACCAACAACTGCTGTCCATGATGCCAAAATGACAAAACATGTGTCATGATATTATAGTGTAACATCTGCCCTTTTTTTCTTGTGTCTACTTAAAAGTTACATATCAATGTAACAGCATACACCACTATGTAATGGGCAAAATTTGCATTGTGATATTGTAAGGCATGATTCATCATTCATCACTTCCCTTTTCCATTCTGAAAATGCTTTCAATTTGTTCTCCTGTGGTATTTTTCTGCTATATTTAAATACCACTGATTTCAGTATCAACCTGTATTGGCTCTATGGATTAGGAAATGCTGGAGTGCTGTTATGTATTCCCAGCCCTGCACATGTTCTGGAGCAAAGCATTGGGATACAGTACTGTAGTTTGGCCTCCCAACAGTCTTTCGGTGGAATGACTCAATTTACTTACAGTGCCATTCAGAAATTCTAGGACTTTCCTTCAGAATATTCTGGAACCTACAGTTCATCAACTAGGCTCCTGTATAGGGAACATTATCATTCATGTATCTCTGCGATGGTTGCCAACCTAGTACTCACCCAGAGAGCTGGTATTACTACACTGAAACAGTTGTCTTCAATTAAATTTGTCTCCAGCTACCAACAATACAATTCTCCAGTGAGGCCCTGTTCTCTGCTCTGCAACCTGCACCTTGACAGTTGGTGGAGGTTTTCTTACAAGGCACCTGTTCTCTGAAATGTCTTTCCCTCTTATAATGCTGGGCCCTGTGTTTAGGCATCTTTGAAACAGTTGGCTTTGTATGATTGACTTCCATAGCCATTAACTCCACTAATATTTGGAGAGGGGCTGCATTGTTTTTATTCTATTTCTATTCTGTTTATTATCTATTTAAATTCATACTTGTCTACTTATTGAAAACAGTTCAGAATATGAAGCTTATTAATAACACAAAAATAAGTAAAACAAGCATTCAGTGTTTATCACTACAAAAAGGAAGAATTTCTAGGGCCGTACTTAAAAGGCCTCTAAATACTCTTGGGAAGAATTTAGAAAGATTGAGCTCCTACACCACGGGTGTAGGAACTCAATCTGCACTGTCACATTGCCGTCACGTGACATATTGCGATGGTTTCCCCCTTCGTGGAGCAAAGTGACTGGAGTGATGCAACCAGCCCATGGGCTGCGAGTTTGACACCCCTACCTTACACCGATTCCATTCTTCAGAAAAACTGTCTCCAAAGGAAAAAAGATCAGGAAAATAATGGTGACAGAAAAGTAGTAGTGGGAAATGAACTACCATTTTCCTTGGTGGTGGAATTTGGGTTACAAAATATTATATGACTTAGAATATCGTAGTTATTTTGACCCAGATTAATCTGATAATTTGTAAGAGGTTTTTTTTTAACTACAGGAGATTGCAGTGTATAAATTGTGGATTAGTCTGATTTAGGACTGTTCTATTCTGTGTAGAGGAGAATACTTCAAGTCTATAGTAGGTCATTTCAGTGAGCAAACAAAGCATTCCTGTATTAGCAAGTAGGTGCATAGAGTCTAAAAGTGGGTAAACTACCAGGAATATTGTGTTTTGCCTCTTTTTGGCTGTGTTCCCAGGTGAATTTTCTTTATGCACCAATTTTGGTATTTTCCTAAGAAGTCATAGAAATGCACAGAGCTGATTATACAGTAAAAGTTACTAGATCAATTTAGAAACCTGAAATATGTTTGATTAACACCAAAGTTATTCAATATTTTCATTGAATTAGAAATGAAAGAAATAGGAGCAATAGGACTGCAGGTGCAGCAAAAGCAATTTAAAATATATATTGTTTATAGATAACAAAGTAGTTGTGAGAGAATTCAGATGCAAAAATCAGCATTACTGGAACTGGTTTGAAATTATGTGGAACAATCATAAAACTATGCAAAAATTCAGATGTCCATTAGATACCATCTATGCTTCTGTGCTGCCAATTAGCGATTGTTCAGATTTTTGCAGCCCAAATATGACAGACGTATATGTTTCTAGAATGCATTAAATGAATGAAGCACTGTGGCAAAATAAAATGCAAGATAATTTTTTTTTTTAATTTGATTTAATTTGATTTTTTTAATTTAATTTTATTTTCTGTTTGGAAGTTCAGGACAAATATCAGGAGATTATCAATAAATATTTGATTATTCACGGAATAGTTATCCTGAAATATCATGAAAAGTAAAGAAAAAAATCTGTATTATTTTGAACAGTATCCTGGTGTCTCACTAGTTTTCATGGGCCATGAGAAGTTTTTCCAGAGCTACAAACTGTATGCCTGAGAATATTACTATGATGATGGAATATATTTCTAAATTTTCTCATAGAAAGTCTAATAAACGTTATGCATATATCCTTCTCTCTCTCTCTCTGTGTCTATGTCTATATCTGTATGTTGAGATTATAACTTCTACCCTGCAGATAATATCTTATAAGGAGAGAAGGAACCCACAAACACAGGAACGAAATTTTGTACAAGAAAATTTGCAGAAGAACTATAAGGTCATTTACATACCTTAAATAAGCTAAGTTAATATATTTAACGAAAAGTCTCCAGTCATTTTATTAAAAATTAATGAATGTCAGAAAGTTTGAATCATGCAGCAGTTTTGGAAATTCTTGCTTCTAAATCCTGCAGATTTGAGGACTGATTGTGGAATTTTCTCCCCCAGGAACTTTGATATTAGGAGGCTTGTTGGAAAGCCAACTGGAAACAGAATTGCTATAGGAAATGAAATGAAAGATAGGTGCTCTCCATGTGACCATAGGATCACAGACATTGCAGTTTAAAAAAAAAATCTGTGTTGCTACTGCAAATAAGAATGATTTCAGTTTTGTCTTCAGAAAATGGGATCAATATTTTTACTCAGGAAAAACTTGATCTGTGGGCATGCTTGCTTTCATCAAAGAACAAAAAAGCCTGCAGAAAATGTTGAGGCCTGTATAAATTGGCCTCTTCATGGACTGTTGCTTTCTAGTGGTAAAATAGCTTGTATAAATGAGGCTATGAGCTTATACTGCTGAAGCTGTATACTCCCAAAAGGCTTACTCATAATTGCCAAGGGATCAGAGTAAATATGATCCACTGGAGGACAGAAGTAATCCACTTTAGTAATCTGTCAAGAAAACAAATGTCCATTTAACACCTAGGTTAATATCAACATGATATTGGAAGATGATTTCCCAGAGACAGGAAGTTTCCAGACAGCTATAGGAAAAAAGGGCAATTAGGAGAGTGGTATTCCTTTTGGATTAAACCTGAAAAGATACCTTGCTGCTGATATGACCAAAGATATTTGCAATAATGCAAATTATTTATACCATCATTATAGCCATGAACCTGGACAAAGCTTATGCCATTAAATGCCAAAACTGAAGTTTGATATTGTAGAACTCACTGATAAGAAATGCAATGTAATAGGTCACTTAATATGCAAAGACCATCAAATCTTCTGCCTCAGACAAGAAAATCATAGAAGAAATAAAGAAGCCATCAAAGGGTGTCAAGTCAGTGCTTGGATATAACTCTACAAAGTGACAGAATGAGCTTGATTCCGGTCCAAGGCAAGCCAATCAATATTAGTGATCCAAATCTATGTTCCACCCACAGATACAACAAAGGAAATGGAAGATTTCAACGGAATATAAAAATTGTAGGAAAATGGAATGCTAAAGTTAGAAATCAAATGATAATGAGAAGTAAAATATTTGGCCATGGTGTATAAAATGAAAGAAATATACTCATGGAATTGTGACTAGAAAATTCAGTTTTTATCACAAATGCCTTCTTCCAACAACCTAATAGATTATACTAAACATGGGCATCATCATATGGACAACACCATAATTAATTAATTATATACACTGCAAATCAAGATGGAGAAACTACTAACATCAAATTGACTGGCTTAGATCATGAACTTCTTGCAGAATTGACATTAAAAGAAAACAAAATTATCAGTCAAACCTAATATGACCTCAGGAGTATTTTATATGTAGTGTTTATGAATATATTTATTTGATTTAACATGATGAATAGGGTGCCTAAAGAATTCTGCTCTGAAATTTATGAGATTATTAAGGATAAGGCAAACAAAAACATTCCAAAATAGAAAAGCAAAAGAAAGTGAAATAGCTATCAGCTGTTCGGCTGAATATAGCTGAAGAACAGGAGAAAGCAAGAGGCAACAAACAAGAGGAAAATTTACCCAACTAAATACAGAGTTTCTGAGAACAGCAAGATAAGGCAGTAAATTATATCTAAATCAATAGTGCAAGGAAAATAAAGTTAACAATTGAATGGGATTTATTTGTGAAAAATACAGCAATGGAGGAAAACTTTTATGCAAAAATAGGTACAATAAAAAACAAAGGCAAAGATGTACTGAAAAAAAAGATTTAAAGAGGAGATGTTATAAAAATAAAAAAGAACTATACAGAACAAATATCCAAGTCATAAATACATATGAAAGTTAAAAGTTTTATACCTGAACTAGACCCAGATCTTTTAG